CTAGGAAGAGCCCTGGTGGTTTCAAACATCTTCCATTTGCAAATGATGGAGACCAATGTGCTCGTTGGGACGTTATGTACCCTTCCCCAGATCTGTGCCTTGATACAATCCTGTCTCTGAGGTCTACAGAAAATTCCCTGGACATCATGACTTGGTTTGTGCTCTGATGTGCACTGTCAACTGTGGGACCTCATATAGACAGGTGTGTTCTTTTCCAAGTCATGTCCAATCTATTGAATTTACTACAGGTGGACTCCAGTCAAGTTATAGAAACATCTGAAGGATGATCAGTGGAAAGGGGATGCACTTGAGCTCAATGTTCAGTGTCATAGCAAATGGTGTGAATACTTATTAGACCCTCCAGAAAAACGCGGGCTAAATTCCTTGATTATGCAGGCTAAAATCCTTGATTATGCGATTAAACATGCGGGGTTTTTATGTGATTTTATGCGGTGAAATTGCGGGAAGTTGCGAAATATGCGGAAAGTTGCGAAATATGCTAAATATGCGGGAAAAAAGAATAAAAGTTTTTTTAAATATTGGGCTGTCTTATTTATTCTCTCTCACACACAACCTGCCACTAACGTTAAACCCCTTTACTATTCAATTAAACACATTCAATGTTTATTTATTGTAAAAGCAATTGGGCTATTTTAATCTCACACACCCCCACACACGCACACACACACACACACCCACACACTTCTCCGCCTCATTCTGTTTTCATTTACTCGTTCGTTATCTGACCAGCTTCAATCTTGTAGGGTTTTGGAGGTTGATGCCTCGGTGAATGTGAGTTGTTTGGCTTTCTTGTCCGCAGCAGCAGAAAGCATTTTCGAATGTTTGAATGAATCAAAGTGGGTCGTCTCGTCGATTTTCTCTTATGCTCCAACACACAGTTGCACGGGGTGCAGAATAGTTTCCCCCCACTTTTTGCCCGGTCTTCAGTAGAAATGTTCGTCGGTAAATGAGATGGATTAGATTTTTTCATCTTGGTGTTTTCTCTATCGTGTGAGCTCCACACGTTCACTCTATACAGTGTTGTTTACATTCTGTGATGCGCGAGCTGGTGACGTCACGTCAAGACGAGTTAACTTTTTTTTTTCTCAATTTTGTGTGGAAAAATGCGGGGATTATGCGGCCTTTTGATAAATATGCGGCCTTTTAAAAATCTGCACCATTTTGCTGATTATGCGGTAAATTCTGCGATCGCAGAATCGCGTTTTTCTGGAGGGTCTAACTTATTCAGATTCCTGCTGGATCCAGTCAAAGTGTGAAATTGAGTGGAAAAGTCATAACCTCTCTGTTGAGAAAAAAGAAAAAAAATACAAAGCCAGGCCAGAATTTTCTATGGAGCTCATATTGAAGTTTACTTATAGATCACAACAATAGAATAGGGGGAAAGGGGACCTTTTATTCTCCGGGGCTTCTGTGTGAAAATGTGTGTGACTGTAAGGTTCTTGCGTATCCCTTTTAAACCCACGAGGCATAAAGCTGAGGCATGTGACCCTCAGATCCTCTGAAATCTATCAGCTTCTCAAAGTACTCCTGTCATCAGCCCTCTACACATTCCATAGAGAGGAATTCATGGTGGGCCTGTCATCATCGCCCCAACCCTCATACTCTCAGCTCTGGACTGAAAACTACCAAAGGGAAGAAAAATATTAAAAGAATAAGACATGTTGCTTCTAAAAATTATCCGATTATGCAGTAGAGGATTCTTTGTTTCACGGCTATTTATGCAAAATACCTTTCAAAAGGTGTGAGATGGATAACAAAGAACCCTATAAAAATGTGAAGAAAAGAGATTCTTTAATGTGACGTTTTGAGGAGAGATTCTGACAGCTTTGTTTCTCTGTGGATGGCAGGGGAGAGGGATGGAGGTTTGTTTAATCACAACTTTGTGTTTGTTCCAGAGCTGAAAAACATTTAAAACAGTTTCCTCTGTCAGGCCAACTGACCATCAATGGTCAACTTGAAAATGTCAGAATGTGGGCTTGTGTGCATTTTTGAAAAATTACATCTGGCAAACAATGTTATAATTATAAATAAAATAAAAAATCTTTGATAGAAAAATGGTTCATCAGTTGGCACAGGAATGACGTGAATCCAAGGACTTGATAAACAGGATGCATTTAACCCACTAGTGAGCTGACAGAGGAAGGAGAGGTTGGTTGGTCCATCCAAGTGATTTATCAACCAAATTAATCTAACTACTTTCCTAAGCTGCAGATTTGCTTGGCAAAGTTCACAAAGTTGAATGATTTGGCAGTTTTCTATGAAGGTAGATATGGTGCCAAATGCGAGAGCGTGTAAAACCTGATGTGAGCACTTGCAGAAAAAAAATCTGAGCTTGTGTGCATACATTTACACTTGTATAAAATATCCACGTAACTGTGAACCAAATGTACACTTGTATAAAATATCCACATAACTGTGAACCAAATTTGAAGTCAAAGAAGAAGAAAAAAAGTTTTGTAGCTTGTAGGAAAAAAATGAACTTAGTGATGAAATATTCACTTGCAGAAAAATACATTTTTTTAACATATTTTCCATTACAACTGCAACTTGGTNCAGCTAAACCAAAATAATTTGCAAGAGCTTCAGCGCTTCACATCACATGTTTCCTTTACTCGTTGTAAATGACATTTTGAAGAGAAGAACAAATTGTTAGACATGTGATGTGAAGCGCTGAAGCTCTTGCAAATTATTTTGGTTTAGCTGCATCTCTATACTGTGCAAGACAGTAATTACTAGAAAAGCTCCATAATCACCACACTATAAAACTGCACTTGCTGTACTGCATATTATATATATATTCGTCTGCAGACATTTTCTGTACTATGTAGCTTGATGTATTTAGATCTCTAAGCCTGGAATGTATGCTTTGCAGCAGTTTATTTTAAAGCATGTCATGGCAAGGCAACATATACAAACAGACCTAAAGCCCACTGGGAGAAAGTACAAGTTTCTCATTTTTGTAGACTTTCTTCGACCCATTGAGTTTGATTTGATATTACAATTTCAGCTTGAAGCTCTGAGCACTGTGGGGGAAACTTCTGTGTAGCAATGCAGTGGGAGTCACCGACTCATGAAGGAGACACGGGAAGAGCAGGAGCTTTGATGTCAAACACTGATGGTTTATTTGGAGCTTCGGCCGGAGAATTCACATCACAAGTCCAAGAGCCAGAGGTTCTGACTTCACGGTAGAGTTGCCAAGTCAATTCTGAAGAACTCCACCCCAGACCAATGTATTTAGCTAGTTCAGAGAGAATAATCAACATGCTGCATAACAAGATAGAATCATAACACCTCTATCAGCTGACGCCAACAGGCAGGAACAGGGAGACAAAACACAGAGCACAGCAGCAAAGGTTACAGGTGCGTGTGCTCAGTCAGGAAAGTTTGAACTGATAAACTGGATCAATGTTATGGACCTTGGAAAATATTTCCCCAACAAGCACAATCACTGGGGATGACTGGTTATAAATTGGCGTTTGTTTGCAAAAAAACATAACTACAGTAAGTTACAACTTTTTCTGTTAGAAATGTTATTATAATGAAGTGTAGAAAAAATAAGTTAATGTTAAATACATTTGTAAGAAAGATGGGTCAAAGAATTGCAGGGCCTCGCTTGAAAACTAGTCTTTCATTTCGTGACTCAGTCATAACTCATGACTGCTACACAAAGTGACATAATGTGAGATGCAACTATGCCAAGAATCTAGTCTTCCCACTCCATTGGCAAAAGCCAAGGATGTGGATAACCCTGGCTGTGTGGCTTCCTGGGAACAGAAGGAGAGGGGGAGATGCCATGGTTTTTCCCTGGCACACTTGGTTTGATTGCTGGGGAAGTCTTTTGCTTGGTCATCAAGGCTTTTGTCAGGGAGCGATCTAACTCAAAAGCCTCATCTGTTGGTCGTCCACGCAGAATGTTTCTGATAGTGGGGAGGGCTAAGTCTGACTTACAGTCCAGGTAGCTCTTTAGATTCAGCTTGGGGAGAGCTTCATCTCTGAGAGCCTGAACCAGCTGGTTCTCAGCGTGAGATAGTTTGAGCTGATGTAAAACGTTGTGCTCCAGTGAGATGTAGCACAGTGCATCTTCAGCCAGCCCGAGCTTTCCCACAGGGCGGTGGTTCTGGCTCTTCTTCTTCAAAGATGGATTGAGCGTGTGTTGTTTGGATTTGGCCGGAGAGTGCTGGTTCTTGAGGTCTTTCTTCTTGCCAGCATGGACCTTCTCTGAAGCACTTGGTAGGAGTTGATAGAGCCCTTCATCAGCCAGGTCTGCTAGGTCACCGACGAGCAGCTGCTGAACGACTCGCTTCCTCATGAGTGGAGATGTGACTGTCCGAGTACTTTGCAGTCCTCTGCCTGCATCGACACACAGCCAATCACTGCTGGTTAGCCATCCCAGCCTGTGGGATATTTCTTTGAACGACTTTGTGCCTTCACACCCAGCATGCAACAGCACGGCCTGTAGTGTTAAACCTTAAAGCACAAGCCATCGCCTGCTAAATGCCGCCCATGAAAGATAAGAGCAGAGGATTCCACACTGCCATGTCAAAACACATGTGCTGTTGGAAAAGCATAGCTCTGAGGGGAAGCTTTGAAAATGCGGAAAACATGCACATTCATACCACACTTCAGCATATGGAGCTAAATACCATACAGTGTGGTACACCAGTCAACCACATAAAAGTAACACTTTAAAGACCAATTTAAGGGCTGCAGACTTCTCAGTGGGAAGAGTTAATTTATTGTGTCATAAAAGATGGCCTACTTTTCAAGAAGCTCATCAAAATCAATCACTCTTAAAGTTGTTTAAGATAGACATCCATGTGAAAGCTCAACAACAAGCAGGTGGTAGCAAACAAGAGAGACAGCGCTGAAAAGTGCCCATACATCATTCAAACCAGCCCTTTTTGCAATTTTTAAAGCAGTGCAGAGGCATTATGTGACGTTTGTATTCATGCTCAAATAAATAAGCAAGCCCACGAAGACAATACTTACCCTCTTTAAAAGATACCAGCACCACCCGGCTGTCGACAAGTTGCGGTTTCCTGAAGTTACCATTTAGAGGCACGGGGGACGATTCCTGGGCATGGGACGAGTAGAGGGCTGTTGCCATGTCTAAAAACTGAGAAAACCCCACAAAAAAAAAGCATGTTACGCATGGAGATTTTCCACACCAATTAAAGTTAAACGTAAAGGGAGAGAATGTAATAAAATGTCTGTAAAGTTGATTTAGGAGCACCTGTTTTCGAGAAATTGTAACATGATTCCTGAAAATTGTCCACAGGACACTGGGATAGCACGGAGGAGTCGTCAGGGACCCGTCATAGCGGTAAAACTCGTCCAAACGTGCCGGCAGCAGAGCTCTGATGTTGAAACCGGGCACCTGCACTCGCTGATCTGCCAGAACAAAAGTTTGTACAACTGTTAACAAAGTCATGTCAGAGTAAAATCCAGAATAGCTTCATGAGTGAGCTGAGAGTTTGGAGATTTTGATCCCGAATAAAAATGACTTTCTATCACAAAGGTAGCTGATATTGTTCACGAATCATAACTTAAATTCAGTGTGGCAAAACTACTCGAGATAATAACGACTTATGACTCACCCCTGTATTTGATACCGTTGATGAACCTCAGAAACTGTTCAAATGCTGGATTGAACTCTCCAACCTGCATGACAAACAAAGTCAGATGGTTCTGCTCCATTCAATTTCACACATCACCTTCCCCCGCTCCCACAACGTCTCACCTCGATCAGGACACCCAGCACAGCCAGGCCGTCAGATTTGTCTACAGCCATGGACATATTGGGATACTTGTCTGAATTGAAGTGTACTACATGCATCTGTGAAAGAAAGGGGAAATATGTAAAGATCCTGCGGAAGTAAAACAAATATATAAATATCACGTAGTTTTAAGAGTCAAACCCTTGAGTTTGTGTTACTGTTATTATTAATTAATGTTTGAGATCTAATAACACAATTTGATTCCATTTTAAGACAAAAAAAGTGTGCATCTGTTATACATTTTTTAACATGATACTAAAGCACATTTTCTTTGTGTAATTGCATGCAGTGCAGTTTCATGGAGCCTGAAGGAGTGACTAGCTGCTAATTGTTGAACTATTACAACACATTCAAAGTAGATGATAATTGGACTGGAAATAGCAGGTGGTGTTCAGAGGAAGGAACAAGGTGGGAAGTGATAATGCCGGAGATGTATTACAGTAGGTGGTGTATTACAGCACATACATAAATGCCAGACTGTCAGTTTGTTTAGTCTATTCTGTTAAAGGCATGTCAGTCATTCTGGCCAAATATGACGCAACTTTATCTACAGATGTCCTTCTTGTATGGGAATTAAGGGTAGACATTTGCACAATTTCTGGGAATGTTCCTATCATTACTCCCTCCATAACAACATGCCATCAAGGAACTGTGGTTCTGGAGTCTGGAGAGAATTGAAAAGATGCATGTCCTAGACGCGTCCACTCAGAGCTTCAGGTCAGACCGCAGCACTTTACATGTGGCTGTGCTGAAGCTGAGGCATGGACACATAAAAGCACCCAGGTTGCAACCATTTCAGCTTCTGTACACTGTAGTTCAATTGAAACCAAATGTCTCCTTTTTTTGGTTTATATCGTAAAAGACTTACTTTTAAACTTCATTGTCTGCTTTACTTCAAGTACCAAAGTAGAGCAAGCTGGTGTGTGAAAACAGCTTAGAGGGCTTGACGCATTAAATAGCGCAGACAACCACTCATTTCCAGAGGTGGTTGAAAGCCAAATCACATAATAGTCTGCTACACTAATCCCTTTAAACCCTGCAGAAATAAGACACACTGTCATAGTGTACATACTGAGGCTGAGTGGAATTATTTCTTTGCCTTTAAGTGTGTTCAACCCAGTGAGAAGATACGCTAATTTGATAGGTATGATTTATATATCTCTTTATAACCTTAGGAGTGGAGATTTTAAAGACTCAAAACCTGTTTACTGTTAAAAACTTCTCACTCCCAAACCTCTCACAATCAGGTTACTTTCCTTTTATTTGTAATCTTTTTGTTGTCCTGGACTGAATATGCTTCACATTGCTATGGCTCTAAACCCCCATGCTGACATTATATTTCCCACAAAAGACAAAAGGAACTACCAATTTGTACTCTTTTGTGCTTTTGTGTGCGTGCATATAAATAAATATATAGAGACTATAGAATGTAATTTGTCTGTACAATTGTCTATTGTTAAAGGTTGTTATTTCTGTTTAAAAAACAAATACAATTTAGATTATAAAAAACACTTCTAGGTCACTTAAATTAGAAAGTGTTTTATACAAGTGTCGAAATAGAACTTTATAGTCAATCAAAAAATAAAGTGGAAATTGCACAGTAAGCCTTTTCTAACTTTTGTCTGCCACAGTGTCAAGAAACTGGAACAGTAGAATATAGATGCAGAGCTTTTAGCTTGAGCAACGTCTGGAAGCCTTGAAGGGAATCAGTCTCTGTAAATCCTCTGCCAATCAAATGTCACACGTTTAAGTCATACCGTATTAAGTCATTTGTCTGGTGACAGAGATACTGTCACCTGATGCTGCAGATGTGAAATACCTGTCTTATCGCTGATAACCAACCACACATTGACTCTTTTTTTATTAAGTAAAGAAGCAACACTACAGCCATATCAAGAAAAAATTTCTTCATTTAAAATGTTGTTTAAAGTACAGTTAGACAAGTATTATAAGCGGAAAGTACTTACAAAGTTCAAAGTAGAACAATCCAGGGTGTTATATGTATCATACTATACTAAACTAATCGTTACTTTTATTATTGGGTGGTGTATTTAATTATCATATTTTAGTGTTGAACATAAAATCTTAATCTGCAAAGTAACTATAGTGTGTGATAAGTGTAGTAGAGAAAAAGTATGTAGTTTTACAAAATAGAAATACCAAAATAAAGTGTTAGTACATCATAATTGTATTAAGATACTTTCCATTAGCATCTTCTCCATCAAAGTGGGTTGTGGTAAGACTAGCTGTTTGTGTGGTTTACCTCGGCTGCGTACTGCTTACTGTTCACCGTGTGCTCAGAGCCTGAGGGTCTGCCGGACGAGCCCCAGTGAAAATGGAGTTGAGCTGCAGTGTAGCGATGAGGCAGGCTGGAGATGTGCATCTTAGACGGAAGCGATATTTGTACTGTGGATCAGGAGACATGCAAACCCACCACACGTAACAGAGCAGGGTTACTTCAGTTAACATCAGGGAATCAAAGAACATCAACTTAAAGCAGGGTGTTCAAACTCATTTTAGTTCAGGGGCCACATACAGCCACATTTGATCTCAAATAATAAGACAAATAAGTACCAATTCAACAGGTATATGTTTATAATTTACACATGTGCATTACAACTTACAGATCACAGTGTATCTACAAAGTCACCGGTATCTGGAACTGAATAATATAGTATTTTACTTTATCAAAAAAACTTGTCAAGATCTAGAAATTATTTTAAATTCATTTCCACATCTGTGCAGTAATCCTGACCACCTGAACTAACACACCACCATACAAACTAAAGGAAACTATAATGGAAAAAGGTTAAGTTATACCCCTGCCTTGTAAATGTATGAAATGTATACATACAAAATACATAAAAGTTGTACAAATTCCAACTAATGTCTTCTCTGTCATTTTTAAACTTTGCAAAGTCATCCCGCTGGCTGGATTGGACCCTCAGACAAACTTAAACTTTATCTAAACTGAGGAAGTCAGCATGGCCCGCTCTGTGCTTCTGAAAGACTAAGCTACGTGACTTTATGTTGGAGTGACGCAGGGCACTTTCCACATGTTCGTCAGTGTGTGACGAATGCTTACAGGAGAAAAACCTCTGTCAGCTTATCCCACACACACGTCACGATGATGATGCCACTTAGCTCTTGGCATTGAGGCCCGTTAGCCATGCACACATAAGCATTTGTCTGGTGGGCTTTGCACATAATAGTTACTTTGGGCAGACATTACATGCATGTTTTGGTGTTCACTTTACAGTTTCTGCATCCTGCTTAAAGTAACATGTAAGAAACAAATGACACCAGTTCTACAGCATACTGTTTAGAGCCACAGTTCAAACAACCTCACTGAAACTGTTTTTTATCTTTAAAAAAAAATAAATCACATAACATTTAACTATAATTTGATGGAATCATCATATTCATCTGCCAGTCAAGTCATCTAAATATTTTATTCTGTGGCACAAGGGCATGGTTTTCTATTTTCTAATTGCTATATTTATAAATGTCAGACTGTGTTCTGTATAGATATCGAACATCAAACTAACGTTGTCTTTTTCTTTTGTTAAAATGCCCAGGAGAGTCAGAAGAGATGACTAATCTATGCTCATATTTTCCCAGTCAAAACATGGAGCTCTTTCTTTGGCTGGAAGGGCAGCTCAGATTATAAGAGAGTGATTATGGAAAATTGCAGTGGCAAATGCAGAAAGAAGATCCTCCTATCATTTACTTAAGGTTGACCCAGAAATTATGTCTCGAGGGCGAGAAGTTACTCCTCCACTTTATCTGGTACCATTTGCAATGAACACACTGACTGGTGCGAAACAAAGAATGCACTTAAGCGTAAACACTTGCTTGGTTAATACAAGTTTTGTTATCTGTAATTAAATTAGTATAAAATATACATTTATTTTATGTCATTTGTTGATAACACTGATGATTTATACTCACCAGAATGCCCATTATTTCCAAGTGTCAGCTGCTCATTTGGCGACAGCTTGTAGTTTTGGATCTCAATTGGACGTAAAGTTGGGTCGAACCTCAGCAGCTCTGACTTGATGTCTATGGGAGACTGGAACGCTCCCCCACAGTATGGATAATGCTTTGACCAGTGGTGCTCTCCTTCTGGCCCTGCAACAGCATCAATGTCAATTATAACCAATCAAACATTTTTGCAAGATATCTGCACCTTAATGGAACTCAAATGTTACATCAAAAGGTTCAAAACACAGTGGAAATACACTGAAAATGAAAATGTAGGATATTTTAAGTGTTTCCCAGTGTGAATTTAGTAGGATTTGATTCAAAAGTGGGCCAGGGTGTCATTGGCTCCCTGAAAATGTGTTCTGTAATCAAGGTCAAGTTTGATCATCTATGCACAAGGCGGTATGGGACAGGCCGGTGGCTTCTCTTTTGGTCAGTTCTTATGCAGCGGTAGTGAGAACCAGACAGTTTTTTGCAGGGAGAGCCAGTGAGAACACTGTCTCTCTCCAAATGAGAGGTTTCTATAAAGCAAAGGACACTGAAAACGTCCACGGTCTAAAAAGTCATGGAGTTTACAAAGTGACCTCAGCGGCATAAGGGTGTCTCCAGATGCTGTGTCTGCGGGCTGGCCTTGGAGATTTAAATGTAATTGAGAAATGATGCAGCCGAAAATAAAACGAGGAAGCTCTTGGTGTCTGATATTTTAATTCAGTGTATTCACCAAAGTGTAAGTGCTGAGTGTTTCAAACATGGTGCTCGTTGAGGCTAATGGTTTGTGTTTAATGAACCTAATCAACTCTGAAAAAACGTAATTGTAGGGGAATAGCAAATGACAAAGACCCCAAATGTACCAGATGTCGCCGCTTCTGGATATTTGCCACTGATTGATTGTGTAACAAGACATTCAATTAAATATCTACCATTCACCAAATGCCAGCTGACCGTGGTTAAATGTGAATGACGCAGCATGAGGCCATCCGCATGCAAATGTGGGTTTATTTTACAAGACATGTCAAAAGAAATCAAGAGAATTTGTGAAATCACTGAACACTTGTTTGAAGCAAAGTTCTATCCAGGCGAAGCCTCTCTAAACTAAGGAAGAAGGTCAGTCTTATGGCTACAATTAGTCAGTGTCCACTTCATTTGCGGTTTTAATTAGACCCAATCTGCCCTTTAATAATGGCCCTCAGGATGCTTTGGGGGCCCCTTGGCAGTTCTGTTTAGAGTGATTGTGGGTGTTTACAAAATAAACATGGGTCCTTTCCTTTGTGAAAAGAATGTTAAAAGAGTGGAGGAGGCAGAGCAAACTACACTCATCACTAGCATCATTTATGTTACTCTAATGTTAATTTGCACTGTGTTGCCTGCGGGGCGTAGTGTTGAGGGGGGGGGGATACGTCCTATGACTCAGCTGTGCCCCCATCAACAGAAAGTGCAACCAGCCCTCGAGACCATACTGACTACTATGACAAGGCCTGTTAGTGGTTTGACTGTAACTGAGGATGAAATCCACAACGCTGAACCTCAGAAAGTGCCAGAGATTATTATTTGTATCTTACATCTTTCCTTAGTAGACATCACAGGCCTTTCCCCAAAGTTGACTCATAGTTAAATTGTTATAAAATAACACAGGTGTATTTTATCCCGCATTGTTAAGATATCCTTTTTATTGACACACAAATTAGAAATGTTCCTAATTTCATTTTCCATTATTTTTTTAATTTTCCAAAATGTCTTCAGGTAAGAGACAAACAGTGTGAATAGAATCCACAAAGGGCCATTTTATCCCATTGATGCCAAGCCAGTGCAGTATTCAGCCTTTCTTAGAGGTCGGAATTAAACACGTCACATTTCCTCTAACTATAATTGTTTGACCACAAATTAATATGCAGGGAAGCAGCTCTTTTCTTAACAAGCCCTGATTTGCATCTGAAAGAATTTGCACACAATACAAATGTTTTAAACAAAGACATTGAAAATGATTCATGTAGTCAACAGTTTGTTTTATATTTGACCAAAGAATTAGTTGTGAAAAAAAAAACGTAGCTGCTAACCATACCTACTTATTGGATTTAACGTTAAGCCCCCAAATGAAACAGACTTTCGGGAAGCAGTAACACAATGACAAGAGGTCAAGCTCTGAGCACAGTTTATGTAAGAGTTTGCCCATAGACCTTAAGGCGTGATACAAAAGCAGTCAACCACTTATGAAATGTTGTAATTACAGAGTCTGTAATGAACTCTAGAGTTACATGGGCTGACATGGAGAGAGATGTCAGAACTGGTTGTCTTTGCTGGTCAAACAAAACTCACAGAGCACTTTTCCCCTTTTTTATCAGAATGCATTGGATACTGTTTACACTTTCGTATTATGTGGCATTGTTGAGTCAAAGCACTGCTCTGATTGCTTTACAATAGTAACATCTTCTCCGAGACATTTACTTGAGATTTGTCTCAAATTGTATTAAAATTCTTGTTGGTAAATGCTTGTTTAAGGCTAGAATACCATTATGAGTGATCAAGACATTCAAGTGCAAATGGTCAGCAGGTGAGAACTGGATATAAATGCCCCTAATATGATCTTCTATTGACAAATTATGAGGAAAATATTATCAGACTTACCATTGTACGTCCATTTTGCACCTGAAATAGACATAAAAGAAGAACATGATCTCACTATGCATTCAAATACATTAGAATAACTTCACACAAGTTAATTGATGCAGCATGAGTCACTATAAAAAACAACAATTAGTAAACCATACATTTAGAAAATAAATCCAAAGTTTTGCCACCCTAATTCAAAGTGCAGGTGCAGGTGGATAGTGACACCTGCGATAAAGCATCTTTCCTGCTCTGCCAGATTGCCTAAATAAGTGTAACCTTCAAAGTGCTTTTAAAGTATTTGCATCATGTACTTTTTGCACCCCTCAAAGATCTTACCATGCAACACCGCGAGGAAAGTCAGCTGAAGTAAAAGGATGGGTATGAAGCTCGCTGAGTGCATCTTGATCCCTTCAGCCCTCCCTCGTGCTGCAGTCTGATGTTAAAACGGTGCCGAGCAGCAGCTGGGAGCACCGGAGCGCGAGCTTTCAAACCGGCTTTTATACTAATCACGTTGTCAGCTCCATTGTAGCTCTCGCTGACGTCAGAGCAACAACAAAACCAGCCTCCAGATCCAACAACGGTGACAGCGCGAGGACTGCACCGCAGCCAAAAGAAGTCACTCATGTTAGGCGCGAGCTGCTGGCGGGCGAAGATGTTGGAAATGCTGAGCGGCGTGCACGTGCCACTGCGACCCTTCGGATTTTGTGACGCTGCCCGGGGGTCAAATAAGTTGAAGAGTGAGGGCTCTACAAGACAAACCTGCACAAACTGTAAACAACTTGGTCTCTATACAAATCTGCAGTGGTGGTGTAAAGTAACTAAGTAGATTTACTCAAGTAGCTAGTACTATACACTTAAGTACAATTTTGAGTATAAACTTGAGTATTTCAATGTTGTGTTACTTTGTGCTTTTACTGCACTACATTTATGTAATACCTTTAGTTACTTGACAGATTTGGATTAATGTTGTGAAATATAATCAACACTTAAATAAGACTTTAGTTGCACCTGGAGTAACATTCACAATCTACCCTGCAGTATTCAAAGTCATTAAAACTAACTGCACCTTTACCAGCTTTGATAACACTTTAATGCATCAATATCTATTATCAAAACATATAATATATATTATTCTGAGATGTGCCATTCTGCATAATGATTACTTTTACTTTCGGTACTTCAAGTATATTTTCCACCTCTGCAAATCTGACTGCAACCCTAATAAAATAATAATTTCAATCAACATTTTGGATCAAAGCTATCACAATACAATAGGACTTTTGTAATATGTATTAACTTGTTTAATGGGTTTTCACTTTGCCCCAGATTTCAGCAAGTAAAAAGTCTGAGTTGTAAAATTACCCCACTCCACCGGCAATAATTCAAATTACAGGGCTGAAATAACTTTTAAAATGACTCCTTCAAACCACAAAAGTTCTACGATATCACAACTAATCCTAAGTAGTCTCATTATGTATTTATTTGAAAGCCTCCTTTCACTCAAAAATGTGTTGCTGCTTGTTTCTTCACTAATTGGATATTAGGAATGATGCATGTGCAAAATGACTTCTCACATCAGATAGGAGTTTCTCACCTTAAATCCAAATTGAAGATACAAGCATGTTAGTTTTGAAGGTAATTAAGGTCCAAAATGCACCTTACAAAAGTGTGTTTTGCAGGAAAAAAATTCCTAGATTTGGGATTTTTCAATTAAGGGAGAAGAACAACTTGCAATGTTTAACCAGAAAGCACGATGTCAGGCAAACAGTATTCTTCATGCAGTGTCTTTTAACACATCAGAAGGAAATCTATGAAAGTATTAGTACAAGACACAATAATGTAACCTTGGCTCATGATAAGGATTATCATGTATTAAAGGTGCAAGCCTTACATCGAAATGAAAGCTTACATGACTATAATATACTAAAATAAGAGGTTAAACTCTCTTCTTCCTGGGGTTACTTTACGACATGATGCTCTTTGTAGTAATCTACATTTCTTTAGTTGTGTTGCCAACTGTCTTAATATACTGCATAACAAATAGAACAAAACTGCAATTTAACTCATATTAAATAATAAATAAATATGAAATGCTTATTTATGTGTTGCTGTGCTGGAGCAGGTATCGTGTTTAACTCGAGCGTTAACCTTCCCTAAATGATGTGTGAGGTCTTTCAAACAACACCCATCAAAAATGCTATTGTTCTATTGATCGTATGCTACACTCTGATATATTAAAAAAAATTCTCTAATCTTCTTTAAAGGTAATAAAAGAAAAAAGGAGAAGCCTATCCCTGCCATTAACTTTTGTTTCGGTTGCAGCTGTCACCATTAGGGAAATGTTGGTCCAAAGGTCAGTTTGACAACCCACTCCCACTGTAGTTTACAACCCTGCCTCACTCCAGGAGAGACAGCTCGAAGAAAAGCAGCAAGATGAGGCTCTTGTTGTTTCTGGGTTTGGTTTTTGCTGCATTTGAAATCAGCAATTCGATTCCAGGTACATCAAACTTTTTCCTTCTTCATTTAAAATTGTAACTAGAGATTGGTTTAATTATAGGCAGAATAGGCCTTGCTAGCACACAGGCTCATCAAGTGCTAGCCTTGTATTGCTGCTTTTATTTAGGAATACTTTGTTTTAAAATTGGTTCTATATCATTGTTATTGTTTTATCTAATGTTTCAAGGAGATGAAGTTTCACTTTTGGTCCTATTAGAAAAAAGTGGCGGTTACATCTGCGGAAGACTCCATAAATGGGCTTAATCATGTGTAGTATAAAAAAGATGCCTGTGCCATCAGAAATCAATAGACCTGATGGGATAAAAGTTTGAGTAGATTACATAGGTCTAGACTGCATCTCTCAGCAGGATATAATTGTATTGTACTTGTTTTTTACCCTGACTTCCATGCTTCAACTTGCGACTGAAGCCCACAATGATTGTCTTTAGCTGTAAAAAAAAAGACTAGATGGTATTTACTGTACGTTTACTTTCTAAGAAATGTTATTAACACACTGCTAACAATTGTGCTAAGCTGACTGGACAATTCCCTTCTCTATAATTCTCAAACTTTTAAACATTGAGATCATTTCTGTCTGAGCCTGAGCACAATGAGCTAAACCTGAAACCGTTTGAAACCACTTCCTTTAGGTGATATCTATAAAAGGGCGTCAGGACTGAAAATGCACCATAAATGACACATGTAATTGCCATCATAAAAGGAGGGAGTGGGTATCTGTTGATGGGGTTAGTTAAACATTATGTGCTGGAGATATAACCTACCAAATACTGTACTGAAAACAAGATCATCGCCTTTTGAATAAAACATAGCTAACAGCATATTTCTTTTTTTATCCAACAGCTTTCTGCCAATTGGAACAGGATGAAGGTGAAGGCACAAGCTTTACCTTCTCTTTGTTTTATGACCCCGTCAAAGATCAGTGCAACCCTTTCCTATACAAAGGCCAAGGAGGAAATGGCAACCGATTTGCAAATGAACGAGAGTGCATAAGAAACTGTTCCGCCAATGCAGAGGCAAAGTACCCCATGAATGGTAAGATGGTTTTAAACACTCATAGTGAAAGAATAGTAAGGTTCCAGTTTATTCTGAATTACCATTTAATGTTTGTTAAACATGCAAAACAACTAATGTAAAATCAGAGACCGCTTACATTTAGATGAACATAGTGTGGAGAAAAAAACATTCTTCCTGTTGTCTGAGGACTTTGGAACATGAACTGGCCCATGAGGTAGGGTTTTATGGCCTAAAGGACCATGAAAGGGAATGCTACATTATCATAAGGCCTCTTCGATAACATATGAGGGTAAGAGGGCGAGAAAAAGAGATGATATGAAGAGGGGCTTGTTGGCTGTATCCTATAAATAATAACGATTCCATTGCTTTTCAGCCAAATAACTTTTGCCGCCTTCCTTTCTTCGAGGATGCAGGAAAAAAACATGTGTCAGGATGAATGTTAGCAATACGCCACCCAGTGGTTAAAAGGCAAAACTACTGCTTGAAGTTTTAATGATATTTTCTGCCACCTGCTGTATCAATAAATGAGAATTGCTATATACATAACAAATCCTAACTTTTAAATGAGTTTCATTAATAAACTCTGACCACTGTTATGACTAATAAGGATGATGTTTTATCTTCACAGTGGCCCAAGCTTGCCACTTTAAACATGCTGTAGGTGACTGCAGTGGCAAGTTTCTGAGGTATTACTATGATTCCGTCCATGACAAATGCAAAAAGTTCCTTTGGTCTGGATGCATCGGAAACGGAAACAGATTTTTTGACCAGACCAGCTGCAACACCACCTGTGAGGGCATCCACGGTGAGCACTAATCTCTGTCTAATGTACACATTTACTGAAATAATAAAATATCAAATGTGTTTAATGAGGCAAGTATACTCTTAAATGTAATACAATTATGTTTTCAACATGATGTCAATTGTTTTTGGACTTAAGATGATGGTGAGGAAGCCGAGGAGGAGGAGCCGGACACTCCCATTGGTCAGTAGAAACACAAAGAACTAATGCAAAACACATCCCTGTTTTAGTTAAGTGCATAAAACATGTTTCATATACTTTTATCTGAATATTAGTTTGTAATCTATTAACATGCATCCCGGTCATCTGTCCTCTTTAACAGCAATCATCTGTGGAGTTCTGCTTGCCCTCATTATTGCCGCTATCTTCATAACTGTGACTGTCTTGACCGTTCAGTCAAAGTAAGACTGTTTTTATTTGTTTTCAGTTTTACATAAGGAGTTAACACTAAAAATGAAAAACACATACCTTGCTGTCAATGACTACTCTCCTGTCATTTTTTATATCTATTTTTTTTTCTTTAGGAAAAAGAACCCCAAGAACAAGACAGAACGGAAAAGTAAAGAACCCCAGTCTGGCTCACCTCTACAGGACGACAAGGATATTGAAATGTCATAGAAAATCCTGTCACCTCAATAGCAATATGCAAAGTTACCATTAATTTGTATTTGTATTCTAATTCTACAGGCCTTGATACTAAGCATAACAACTTAAGACCAATTTAGATTTTTTTTACTGACATAATATAATAGCTACAATTGCATTGCAATTTTGATCAATTTTGTATTTTATCACCTTTGTGCAAAGTGATGTTTTTTAAGTTGTATTTTTCCTGGAAGCTTTCATTCAGCAATCCAAAAATAAACGTGATAAGCCGTTCTGTAATCAAAAGAAACCAGACCTTGAATCTTAGTCAATTAATTGCTTTGTTTGTTTGATTAGATACCTTTTATAAGTTAGTAATTGTCAAGATTGTTGTTCCAGGCACAATGTCAAAGGTTTCCTTTATTCTAGCGTTTTAGTTGTTTAGCTGCTTTCGTCTGCCTTATCTGATTTTAGAGTATAAATGTTTTCGGACTGTTGGTGGGACGAAATAATTTAGGATCCATGAAGTATTGATGGAATCGTTTTTGACTTGATTTATCAAAAATGCTATAGACAAAAGGAATAATTGAAAACAAATTGGCAAATCAGTAATGAATACACTTCATTGTGAAGTGCAGCCCTAAAAAACACACCTATAGTAACTTTAAGGGGAAATATTTCCATTTGAAGCAAGTAGGTTTCTTTTTATGAAAAACACCTTGATTTGTTTATTTCCAAAACACGACTGCATGATCACCTGGCTCAAAGATTTGCTGAAAAATGTCTTCTGTAGGGACGTCCCAATTGTAAACCCAACATATATTTAGAGCTGTTTTCGTGAAGTGATGACCACACACTCTCTGTTATTATGTGTACCTGCTCAGCATTTTTTTATCTATTGTTTTAGTCTGCAAACATCTCAATATAAAAGTGTCAAAAAACAACATTTTACGTTTTCTCCCATGTATGCTAAAACTTACGGCTGTGATGTCAAATGGCCATGCTTTGTACTTTGGATAATAAAGCAGTTTCGCCAAAAAAAACGATGGAAGGTCTTACTTTATTAAAATATGTTTCAATGTAGTTTGTTGTTATTCACTGTAGTGTATACATTCATACAATTATCGATGATCATCATTAATTCGAAATAAAGTTTAAAAAAAAGAGCAGTTTCTGTGTAAAACGTTATTCTTTCAGTGAATGAATAAATTACTTTCTTACCCTCCTGGTCAACATTTTATGTAGTAGGCTATGGGGAAAAGGTGATGAAGAATATTTGACATGTTGATGTCCACAGAGGGGGAAAACTGGTGTATCGTTATCAAAATGGAGGACAATGCTTAATTAGTCATAGGCCTATTGTTTTACATTTCCCAGGATGAGAATGTACATAGTTAAAATCCGCACATGCAAAACATTTAAGCCAACCATTTTTATCAACATGAATAGGATAATTATTTACAATCAGTTGTCTCTAAGCTACGGAGCCCCTAAAGGGACATGGAAAAAAAAAAAAATGGAGAGAGAAAAACAATAAAGTCAGGAAAACGGATTCGTTTCTCGTGCGCACGAAAAACAAATCCGTTTTCCTGACTTTATTTTTTTTCTCTCTCCCTTTTTTATTTTAACACTGTCACTTAAA